GTTTTTTTTTTTTTTTTTTTTTGGTGCTGGGGATTGAACTTGGGTCCTTGCATTTGTGAGGCAGGCGGCTGCACCACTGAGCTAAAGCCCCTGCCCTCCCACCCTGTAGTTCATGAGCAGACACTCTTGCCAACAGAGAGGGTCTTTGGTAGAGGGAACAAAGGTGTCCTTCTCCAACCTGTCCATGGGCATCACTCTTCCCAGGGGGCTCCGAGAACAACTGCAGGGGGCAGTCCTAGCCTCTCAGCATGCAACATGTGACTCAGGGCTCGCTGGGCCCCACTGTGCTCCCCATCCGACACCCTGCTGTCCCCTAAAGCAATGCCACCTCATGCTGGGAGGGCCTGCATCCGTCACCTCTTCGGCCACCTGCCCGGATGTCCTCACTGTAAACACCCCTGAGGGGCCTCTGGCCAAGGCGAGACTGGAGCCCCAGCCCCTGGCATGTGCCACGGCCCTCCTGAGCTCCACTGAGACTGTGATCAGTGTACCGGGGCTCAGATGTCGTGGTTTAGTCCCAAGGCACCTTTTATCTCTGTGGAGAGCTCCAGGAGTGTCTCTCATGACATCTCAGGGTACGTTTCATGCCTCTTCCCTCCCCTCAGTTATAGAGAGGGGCTCACAGGGGCCCATCAGGCCCCACCTTCTTCCCAGTGACACTAGGAGGAAGGGGAGGGGACAGCAGAATGCATCCCAGCCTGCGTGCCACTTTTGCCTATGTGCAGGTGAGGCATCGCACCTGGGGTAAGGCTCCTGCTGCCTCTGGGTGCTGTGTGGCTTAGACCCTGTCACCTAACCTATGATTCCTCTTGTTGTGCAGAAATCCAGGACCTGAGGAAAATACAGAAGGTAGAGCCCACAACCCAGAGGAGCCAAGATCTACACAGGGAGGCAGCCATGACCACAGCTCATGACACGGAGCTCACTCTGTGACACCCAAACAATGCGGAAATAGAGAGGAGCAGCAGCTGCTCCCAGCCAGGAGAAAAACAAGCACCTTCAGGAGGGTGGGGCTGAGGTTGAAGCCACAACGTTTCTGAAAGAACCAAGATTCGTTGGAACAGCTCAGCCTGTCTTCTGCCTCAGAAGCACACAGTGACTGGTATTGTTGGGGGAAAGCAAGAAATGCACAGGGGTTGTAAGGGGAGCACAGAGATACAGCAAGATAGAGACGGAGGCTGGGTCAGTCAGGGAGGGCCTTGAGAATCTTGCTAACACTTCCATCGTGAGTGGAATATTCTGGCTCATGGTTTCAGAAGGTTCAGTACATGGTTGGTTGGCTCCAAGGCAGAAGTGGCACGGCAGAGGGGCAGGGTGGAGGAAAGCGGCTCATGCCATGGCAGCAAGGAAACAGAGAGAGAAGGGAGTAGCCCAGAACAAGCCCAGCACATCCTCCCAGTGACCACTGTCAAGCAGGCCACACCTCTTGGCACCACATTCAGCCATCAACTCACCAATGCAAGAA